GGTTTAGGGTATACGGTTCAGGGTTCATACCAACACGGTTTTAGAGTTTACGTATGCAACACCCAATATGAAGCCCCGAAACCATGTTGTAATCCGTTAGTGGTTTGGGGAGAGCCAAGATTAGAATCATGAACTTCAGAAAGTTCTCTCTTCCAATGGTTGTAGAGAGTGAGCTTAGGATTACAAGGTAGTTGAGAATGTACTTTTTGGGGGCATTCTTATAACAAGGATCATAGTATGTTAGGGGTCTATATTAGGGTCCCCCGATGTAGAAAAATTATCAATCTCTTGGGCACTAGTAAAGCGCAGAAAGCCACTAGGTAACTCAATTTATTTCGGTTCGGAAACCTTCCAGACAGAATGTTGAAAGTGCTTAGGGCCATGGTACTTGGCAAACACAACTATCACCAGTCCTGCGAGTACTGTATTGGTTTCTATGAGGATGTTTAAAGCGCTTGTTGGATCTAATTCTTAGAGGCTGAAGTTGATTGCAAAAAGTCTAAGCCTCCGCCCCTTTAGTACGTCGTGTTCGAATTTGGGATAATACAGTCCCCCGTCCGAGAGTAACTGCATGCTCATATACTCTTCCTCAGTTCACCCACCCCAAATTCGCTACCGGCTGTCGTTGCTCTTCTTGCAGCAGCAAATAAAATTGAGGGCAACCACTGAGGGACTGCCTTCAAGTAGTACTACGTCTCCCTCAATTCGCAAATATTCTTTTGGGGTTTAGGTTTTAATCGTGGTGATTCCAAAATTATGGGGTCTCCATCATATGTTCCAAAAGTTATCACCCTTAGGGGCACGTTTTGCTTGGATAAACTTAGGCTCTGATTTTCAGGAGAAGTGGCTCAGGTATTGGAGTGCTTCTTTTATCGCAGGCTCGGCTGAATTTGAGGCTAACTAAGGGTTTGGGATATGGATTTAGGATTTAGGGTTTACTGCGGACAGACTGAATCGCTTCGACAGGGTGTGCTAAGCAAGTAGCATGCGAATTGTTATGACAACACGATTAAAGATGCGCATATTATAATTTTTAAGCTACGAGAAGTATTTTTTTTCGAAAAAGTGCGTTCGAGGTCTCCAGAAGCGGTCTCGGGAAACCCCTGTATCGAATATCAGTTATACTGGAAGCACGGAAAAAATGCAGGAATGTTGGATTTTCCTCTAAGGTCCCATGCTACCCCCAGCCAAAGACAACCCAAATAAAGCTTAAATGAACTTCAAGTACACTTTCTTTGTGCCTTATTCAGGGAGGGTGGTTGTAAGGCTAGCGGCATCATAGGATCCTATGGTTTCTATGGAGGTCAAATCGCTGAATGAACGCTGCCTGCCCACCTTAGACCACACAGTAACTTTTTTTGGAGCAGAAGCGGCAATGTGGAAGTAGCTTCGCAGAAGGGATCCTTGGGGTCATGACATGGGCTGCAAAGATATCTACGTACCTGTTCCTCCCTAAGCCGCAAAGTCTTAACCCCAATCCGTGCATTTTGCCACGGATTTTATCCCTCAATCGACATCCCTGCGATGAAGCTGCTTCTCAATGGAGGATTCCCGCATAAAATGCGCACAAGAATGCTTCGAGTATTCGGGCTCCTCCTATAAGGACCACGGCAGAGATTTCCCCGGCTTTAGGAGCCAAATCCCAAATGGCCTTGCGCGCAGGCTCGAGCGATATGGCACCACGGCTTTTCTCCCTGGTGTTTAGGGGGGATCGGGGAGTGGGCAATAGGGATCATCATAGGTGACCATGTAGGCATTACAGGGATCCATTTCCTCATTCCCTACACAGCATCCGGTAGTTTAGGGTGTAGAGAGCTTCGAAGTTTAGGGGGCGACATTGGTTTGGAAGTTTGGAAAAAATATCTCTCATGCTCCAGTTGCCTGAGGGACTACAATCTCTACACCCTACACCCCGAGGAGTTTTGGGATTGCATGTCAAGGGGCGAGCTTCCTGCCGGGTTCTTCCTGGCATGCTCTTTTGCTGACGACGTTGACTCTCATCCATACCAATTTGATGTGTTTGCCGTTGTCCTTGTCCTGTGTGTGAAGTTTAACATTTTGGGTCGTGGCTTGCATGTTCCGTGCCGGCATAAGGCAAGAAAGCACAAGTTTTCCATCCTGCTAGGTTGGGAGCAGACTAGCTTTATCATCTGGGCTTCAGCATAGCCGCATGGATAGATCAAGAAATGCTTTAAACCCTAAAACCTAAGCCCCAA